AAGGTCATCATTCTCTCCGACCGTGCTACATCCGCCGACCGTGTTCCAGTCTCTGCCTTGTTGGCCACCGGTTTGGTGCACCACCATCTCGTCCGAAACAAGTGGAGGTCGCTTGCCGCCCTGGCGGTTGAAACCGCTGAGGCTCGCGAGGTCCATCACCACTGTGTTCTGCTAGGGTATGGTGCCGATGCCATCAACCCTTACCTGGCTCTGGAATGTATTCTCAAGATGAACCGGGAAAAGTTGATCCGCAAGGATATCCCTGATGAGAAGGTTGTCCAGAACTACAAGTCATCCTGTGATGGTGGTATACTCAAGGTCATGAGTAAGATGGGTATCTCTACTCTCCAGTCCTACAAGGGTGCCCAGATTTTTGAAGCTCTTGGTGTCGACGACAGCGTTATCGATCGCTGCTTCTCCGGCACTGCCAGTCGCATCCGTGGTATCACATTTGATCTGATTGCCCAGGATGCTTTCGCCTTCCACGAGCGTGGTTACCCTTCGCGTCCAATTGTCGAAGTTCCCGGTCTGCCTGAATCCGGCGAGTACCACTGGCGTGATGGAGGAGAGGCCCATATCAACGATCCCACTAGCATTGCCAACGTGCAGGATGCCGTTCGCACCAAGAACGACAAGTCCTACGAAGCCTATGCCAAGTCCGCACATGAGCAGATCAAGAACTGTACTTTGCGTGGAATGCTGGACTTCGATTTCGATCAGCGTACCCCTATTCCTATTGACCAAGTCGAGCCTTGGACCGAAATTGTCCGCCGCTTCGTGACCGGCGCCATGTCCTACGGATCCATTTCCATGGAATCCCACTCTACAATTGCCATTGCCATGAACCGCTTGGGCGGCAAGTCCAACACTGGCGAGGGTGGTGAAGATGCCGAGCGCAGCAAAAGAATGGAGAACGGCGACACGATGCGGTCCGCCATCAAGCAGATCGCTTCTGGTCGATTCGGTGTGACATCCAACTACCTAGCCGATGCTGATGAATTGCAAATCAAGATGGCACAGGGTGCCAAGCCCGGTGAGGGTGGTGAATTACCCGGTCACAAGGTTGTCGGCCCCATTGCCCGCACTCGGTTCTCCACACCGGGAGTCGGTCTTATCTCCCCGCCCCCGCACCATGATATCTACTCCATTGAAGATCTCAAGCAGCTTATCTACGATCTCAAGTGCTCTAACCCCCGAGCTCGTGTCTCTGTCAAGCTCGTCTCTGAGGTTGGTGTTGGTATTGTCGCCTCTGGGGTGGCTAAGGCCAAAGCTGATCATATCTTGATATCTGGGCATGATGGTGGCACCGGTGCCTCGCGCTGGACCGGTATCAAGTATGCCGGTCTTCCTTGGGAATTGGGTCTTGCAGAGACCCATCAAACTTTGGTCTTGAACGATCTTCGTGGCCGTGTTGTGGTCCAAACTGATGGCCAAATCCGGACAGGCCGAGACCTTGCCATCGCCTGTCTGCTTGGGGCGGAAGAATATGGGTTTGCCACAACTCCTTTGATCGCATTAGGATGCATTATGATGAGGGTGAGTACATTCAAGCTCCGATTTTCTAACGAGCGGCCTATTAACAATTTTCCCCTAGAAATGTCACCTGAATACCTGCCCTGTTGGTATTGCGACCCAGGATCCCGAACTGAGGCAAAAATTCAAGGGTACACCGGAGCATGTTATCAACTTCTTCTACTATGTCGCCAACGAAATGCGTGCTATCATGGCCAGGCTGGGTGTTCGTTCGGTTAACGAAATGGTCGGCCGTGCCGAGCTGCTGAAGGTCCGGGACGATATTCGTAATGTCAAGCAGGAACGCATTGACCTATCACTCATCCTGACCCCAGCTCACTCACTTCGCCCTGGAGTCGCCACATACAACGTTCGCAAGCAGGATCACCGCCTTCACACTCGCTTGGACAACAAGTTGATTGCTGAATCGGAGCTCGCTCTTGAGAAGGGTCTACCCTGTCGAATTGAATGTGATGTCGTTAACACCGACCGTGCTCTCGGTGCTACTCTCTCCTATCAGATCAGCAGACGTTATGGCGAAGCTGGTCTTCCTCAGGATACCATCCACGCGAACATAAAGGGCTCTGCTGGTCAGTCTTTTGGTGCCTTCCTCGCCCCTGGTGTTACCCTTGAGCTTGAAGGTGATGCCAATGATTATGTCGGCAAGGGTCTCTCTGGCGGCCGTCTCATTGTCTACCCCCCGCGCGGAGCTGCTTTCAAGGCCGAAGAAAATGTCATTGTCGGTAACACCTGTCTTTACGGTGCCACCCGCGGAACTTGCTACTTCCGTGGCATGGCCGCTGAGCGTTTTGCTGTCCGTAACTCTGGTGCCACTGTCGTTGTCGAGGGTGTTGGTGACCACGGATGTGAGTACATGACTGGTGGTCGTGTACTCAACCTCGGACCCACTGGCCGCAACTTCGCTGCTGGTATGTCTGGTGGTATTGCCTACGTTCTGGATAAGAACCAGGACTTCCATTCCAAGGTCAACTTGGAGATGGTTGAGATCTCCAGTATCGAAGACCCATCGGAGATTGCGTTTGTTCGCGGTTTGGTTGAAGATCACCACCATTACACTGGCTCTGAGTTGGCTGCTCGCATCCTGCTCGACTTTACCCGTGCTCTCCCCCATTTCGTCAAGGTTCTGCCAACCGACTACAAGCGCGTTATGGAGGAAGAGGCTGCCAAGGCGGAGGCTGCGAAGAAGGCCGAATTCGCTCTTCCTCGGCTCCCTAGCACCCCAGTCAGAACCGAGAAGGCCAAGGTCGATGACTCCAAGAAGACTGACTTACTGGATATCGAAGACAGCATTAGCGATTCGAAGACTGAGAAAAAGCGATCCGCATTGATCTTGGACAAAACGAGAGGTTTCATGAAGTACAGCCGCCGCAGTGAGAAGTATCGCAACGCGACAACCCGTACTCGCGACTGGGGCGAGATCTCCCACCGCCTCAGCGAGGACGAGCTCAAATACCAGTCTGCTCGCTGTATGGACTGTGGTGTTCCATTCTGCCAGTCCGACACTGGTTGCCCTATTTCCAACATTATCCCCAAGTGGAACGAGTTGGTTTTCCAGTGTCAGTGGCAGGAAGCTTTGAACCGTCTACTCATGACCAATAACTTCCCCGAGTTCACCGGTCGTGTCTGCCCTGCACCCTGCGAAGGCTCCTGTGTTCTAGGCATCAATGAAGACCCCGTCGGTATCAAATCCATCGAGTGCGCAATCATTGATCGTGGATTCGAGATGGGCTGGATGGTTCCCCGCCCCCCTAAGACCCGCTCTGGCAAGACCATTGCTATCATAGGTTCTGGGCCTGCTGGCTTGGCTGCTGCTGATCAGCTTAACCGCGCCGGTCACAGTGTCACCGTTTATGAGCGTGCCGACCGAATGGGTGGTCTTCTCATGTATGGTATCCCCAACATGAAGCTTGACAAGAAGGTTGTCCAGCGCCGTATCGACCTCATGGCCGCTGAAGGTATCAAGTTCGTTGCAAGCACTGCTGTTGGCCCTGACTGCGAGGTTTCTCTGCAGTCTCTCCGTGCCACAAATGATGCTGTCATTGTTGCCACCGGTGCCACCGTTGCGCGTGACCTCAAGGTTGCTGGTCGTGAATTGGATGGCGTGCACTTTGCAATGCAGTTCTTGCATAAGAACACCAAGTCCCTCCTCGACTCTGGTCTCGCGGATGGCGAATATATCTCCGCCAAGGACAAGCACGTTGTTGTCATTGGTGGTGGGGATACCGGCAACGACTGTATTGGTACCTCTGTCCGCCATGGGGCCAAGTCGGTGACCAACTTCGAGTTGTTGCCCCAGCCTCCCCCAGAGCGTGCCCGTGATAATCCCTGGCCCCAGTGGCCCCGCATCTACCGTGTCGACTACGGTCACACTGAAGTCAAAACGCACATGGGCAAGGACCCACGTGAGTACTGTGTCATGTCGACTGAGTTCGTTGACGATGGCAACAACTGCGTCAAAGGCATCAACACTGTCCGTGTTGAGTGGACCAAGAGCACTACCGGCGGCTGGGACATGAAGACCGTCGAGGGCAGCGAGCAATTCTTCCCCGCCGACCTTGTCCTCCTCTCTATGGGATTCTTGGGCCCCGAGGATCGTGTTCTTGGTGAAGAGATTGAGCTTGATCCTCGCAAGAACATCAAGACTCCTCCCGGCCACTACTCGACCAACATTCCCGGTGTCTATGCGGCAGGTGACTGTCGCCGTGGACAGTCTTTGATTGTCTGGTGAGTTTTCGTCCAATTCTTCTAACTAACAATTTATTGACATCACTACAGGGGCATCAATGAAGGTCGCCAGTGTGCTCGCGAGGTGGATACTTTCCTCAGCGGAACCAGCTCCCAGCTTCCAGTCACCGGCGGTATTGTCCGTCGTCCTGCCATCGACTCTGTCCCCCAGCCCTCTAAGGTTGCTGCTTAGTCTAGCAGCGATGTGGGACATTTTTATGACTTTGACGGCAATTTTCACGATTTTGTGACATAGACGGGATTCCATGGGGGTTGGTTTAATGAGCGAATGAAACATCCTCCAGTACTATGCTTTCTCAAGTTTATCTTTCTGTTTTTTTGCCTCAGCGGGGGTTTTTTTTTCTTCCTTTTTTTTCCAGGTCTGCAAGGTGTTTAGAGCGTCTGCCATTTGGTGATCTCTCTATTTTTGCTGTACATAGCTTTTCTGCAAATCTGACTATGTCTCATCATTGTTCCAATGTCGTCTATGAGGCCGAAGTTCTTGTTTTCTTCAAGGCCCTCTACGCCATTGTTTGAAAGAACAAAGAGCTGGAGAGTCAACCATAACTTCGTTGTTCTTTCTTTAGCAACTTCCCCCTTGATGGACTTGCGTGGCCGGCGTATGGTTAAACTATATATTCATCCTTATATCCTTGCTTTTCCGGACCACTCCATTTCATTCTTTTGTTTCAACTAATCCGGCTTACCTATTTACAGATTCACAGGTCCTATCCATTGCAATCATGAGCAACGAAGCCCACAAGACATCCGAGGCCGCTAGCAATTTCAACCCAAACGGCTTCGTCACTGACCGCGAGGTCGGCGGCCAGCGACGTTCCATCCGCCACTATAACAATGGACGAATATCAAGGCGCGGTAGTAGTGTTGAAGGTAGCATCCGAATAAAGATGCACGGGCACTCCAAAGTGACCGGAGGTCGCGCCAGGCCTCCCACCTTCCACTTCAGATGCCTAAGCGGCCGGTCTACTCCAGCTGTTGCATCCGGTCCATCTGATAACGCTAATATCACTGCTGAGATGGCCAAGCTTACCGTTGACCATCCCACTAGCCCTAAGATAGAAGGACTCAGCAAGAAGTTGAACCTCGATGCCGATCCGGGGACCGAGACTGTGACTCTGCGAAAAGTCACTCCCTCGTCTACGGCTAGTATGGCCTCCTCTACTTGCAGCTTCGGTAGCAATAGCTCTGTCAATGCTAGGATAGCGGAAATAGAAGATCGAGTAAGAAAGCATGTCAAGACACGGCTTCAGTTTGTAAAGGAGGAAGATGGAGAGTAGTAAATGAGCGAAGTTTGGATTGGACAACTAGAGAATTGAAGAACATCACCTTCGTTGCCTGTCTTCTATTGAATTGCTAAATGCTAACTTGTCGAATTCTACCATAGGTCTTACAAGCTGGCTCCGCAGTTGTGCTTTTGTATGCACGGTTACTCCCAGTTTCCCAGTCTATGCTCAATGGCAAGTATGTTTTAGGTTTCCTCTTTAATAGCCCGAGACATGTCTCCTGTATCGACGGGCTTTAAGGGTTTGTTGCCAAGTTTTCTGCATTTTATGTTGTTCATTTGTGTGGCGTTCTTCAAGCGTCTCTTGAAAATTTTCACTCAATCAATTTACTTCGGCATCATTCTCTCCCTTCAATAAACTTCCATAGATTGTGGGGCATAGGTATAGAACCCAAATAAATATAGATCTGAGGAATTCCGACCATACAAAACTATATGGTGTAGCAAAAGACAGCCTCTAAAGCGCTATTGTTGGATGCGGATCCGCGGGGTCCTCCATGACCATCGAACAAACGCCGATGCACAGAGGAAATCGAGAGCTTGATATTATACATGAGCAAATGAAACAAGAAGGGTGTATATCTACTTATTGTAACAAGAAGAGAAGAGGGATCATCATGAAGCTGCCTGTTCCGCCTGGTGTTTCGCCGCTTCAGCTTCAGCCTTCATCTCCTGCCACATTGTGGCAAAATCGCCCTTGAAAGAGTCTTTTGCCGGGTCTAACCGCACGTCCCAGACATCCTCACTGCTGGGGCCTGTCTTGTACTTAATCGCTTTCTTCCGGTTGTGGTCTCGGATCTCTCTCCTGCGCAAATCTTCCGGCCAAGTTCGTGTCTTCATGCACAGCCATAAATTATCCCAGTGATCGCTGCATGACCGTAGTTCTCCATATCGATAAACGTTCACAAATTGACCTCCGAAAGACTGACAGAAGAAGGCATAATCGAAGGCATTGCGGCAGGACATGGTATCTTGGTAGAGGGACTCAGGAGAGATAGGGGATGAAGGTGTTTGGGGTTCTGACGAAGGATTTCCATCAGCAGTCAGCCCTGGTCGTTTTGAGAGCGAGGCATCCTCAGCTCTAAGATCTGCCAGGATTTGGTTGAATTCCAAGTCGGCTTGTTCGTCGGGGGTCAAGGTCTTCGGTGGTGCATTCTGTTTTGCTGGTACCGTAGGAATTGTAGAAGGAGTATCCTTGGAAGCATCCTTGGTGCTTGATCCCCACAGCCAGCCCATTCTGTTTTGCGAGAGGAAAGAATTGGTGGATCACCTGCGACACCTTGAACTCTCGAGGTTATCTTTTTGACGGTAATCAGGATATCATGTGACTCCGATAACCAGTCATGAACCGACGTCATCAATTTGGCAAGTTGATTTACATCACTTGATCGATTTTCCAACAATTAGTTTTTTCCCCCCCTCTCTATTAAGTATGTGTCTATGACCAGAATGAGATTGACACCCTTATTAAAAGGTCCGTTGGCCGTTCGGTTCTCGATAAGCTCTCATATCAGCGCCCATGCGTCCCGGGGGTGGAGAGCTCCGCTTTGGGGACGCTCGATGATACGATGCACATCTTCTATCCAGTCGGGACATATCTCGGTAGGAGAAAACCAAGGGATTATCTATGTGAATAGTGAGCGCGCAGTTATAAGAAGCTATCATGTCTACCCACTAATTAGGTCTAGACATATTTCCGCACCGACTACAATGGCTGCTGCGAGGACCCCTCAGCCATATTCAGCCTCTCGAGGGATTTTTGGCACGAGCCAACAATCCAGAACTAGCGGCGGCTGACCCGACTCGTATAGTTCGACGCGCTTTTCCCAAAGAACTAGATCTGGAGATCAAAGAGGTCGTGACAAGGTACAAAGAGGGAGGCGCATTCGTGAAGTATGCGCTCAAGTCGGACATTAGCAACGATACTATCCGATATGCAATCAAGGAGCATCTTAAAACTAATCCTATTAAGCCCTGGTTTAATCCGGTCTTGAAAGTTGATGCGGACCTTGTTCGCGGAACGCCGTGGATCGAAGACCTCTATCGAATCCCAAGCCAGACCCTAAAGGTGGAATTTTTGCCAACATCCCCTGATAGCTCAGCGGTCGAATTAACTCAAGAGTCCCTATACTCAATGTTTCGACCTTACGGCAAACTTCTGGACATTCAGACACAGTCATCAGATTCGAAGGTCGAACCACGATATGCGATTTTGCGATTCGAGCGTCCTCGGTTCGCCGTGATGGCAAGAAACTGCATGCATGGATTTGTTGTTTCTGATGAATCAGGGGGTGGCAAGTCCGGTACAAGGTTCAAGATCAATTACGAGCGCAAGATCAAGCTGTTTATGATCAAGGATTGGATTTTGAACCACCCGAGACTGGTGATCCCCGCTATAGCTGCCCTGATAGCCACAATCACCGTCATCGTCTTCGATCCAATTCGTACATTCTTCATCACGCTCAAAATCAAGTCGTCATTCCAGAGTGAAGAGAATCCAGTTCTCCAGTGGGTTCGCAAACAAGCCAGCAAAGCGAGTATGTTCTCGTTTGGAAAACGAAAGTCGGACCCGCGAGGTCTAGCGGCTATCTGGGAAGACCGACAAGCAGAGATTGGACAACTGCGGGCCTGGCTAACCGAGACCGCAGAGACATTCATTGTTATCCATGGTCCTCGGGGCTCAGGCAAGCGCGAGCTGGTTTTGGAACAAGCTCTGAAAGAGCACAAGTATAAGGTCATCATTGACTGCAAGCAAATTCAAGATGCTCGGGGTGATACATCCAAGATTTCACGAGCCGCGGCTCAGGTCGGCTATCGACCGATCTTCTCTTGGATGAACAGCATCAGCAGCTTCATTGATCTTGCTGCACAGGGGATGATTGGCACCAAGGCTGGCTTCTCCGAGACGCTAGATGCGCAGTTGAGCAAAATCTGGCAGAATACTGGTGTTGCTATGAAACGAGTCGCCTTGGAAGGTAGACGAAAGGAGGACAAGGATTTCAACATGTCCGAAGATGAATACTTGGAGGCTCATCCCGAGGTGAGACCTGTCGTTGTAATTGACAATTTCCTCTATGACGCGGATGACCGTGTCGTTCTCGACAAACTTACTGAATGGGCGGCTGGTCTGACATCTGCAAACATTGCCCATGTCATCTTTTTGACGACTGATCCTTCTTTTGCAAAGCCACTGAGTAAAGCCCTGCCTAATCAGGTTTTCCGCACAATTGCCTTGGGTGACTGCTCGCTCGAAGTTGGTCGTCGTTTCGTATTGAGCCATTTAGATACAGAAGCAGGCGATAGCGACGATGAACAGAATGCAAGGCGCAAAGAGACGCTTCGTGGCTTAGATTATTGTATCAAGATGCTGGGTGGTCGAGTTACTGACCTGGAGTTCATGGCCCATCGCATTGAGGCCGGGGAGACCCCTGAAGGTATTTTTACCATAGTTGTATATGTTTTTTTTTTTGCCTTGTGAATTCCACTAATTATTGTCTAGCTGCCGTGGACCGTATCATTGAGCAGTCAGCGTCTGAAATTCTAAAAATCTTCATCCTCGGAACAGAGTCGATTACACCTCAATGGACCCGTGAACAGGCGTGGCATCTGATCAAGTCTATTGCCCACTCTAGGGATGGAAGCTTATTGTACAACAAAGTCCTCCTCGACGATATCTTCAAGGACAACGGCGAGGCCACTCTCCGGGCACTCGAGCAAGCAGAGCTCGTATCCATCGGAACCGACAAAGGATTCCCGCGATATATCAAGGCGGGAAAACCCGTGTATCGTGCTGCTTTCCAACGTCTGGTTGCGAACAAGACCCTGCAGGGCCGTCTTGATTTGTTAATTCTCTCCCAGCTTATCGGCAATGAGAATTCAAGTATCATGAAGTATGAGGAGGAGCTGCAGGTCATTGGCTCGCTTCCAAAACATCCCTGGGAGCTAACTTCACGAATTGAGTGGCTTCTGCGCAAAGTTCACGGATCGCAGTCGAAGATTCTCAAGTATGAGGGTGAAAGTGCGGCCTTGTCCAAGGGTTTACAGAAGGAGAATTGAGCTTTTAGCTACTGTATCAATCTCATCTGAATACTGTTACATTACTGATAGCCCTAGCATACTTAATCCGGTACTTTTTTAAATTGATTTGTGCTTTATGACTTCCGATTTATCCAATTTTAATCATGGGCATAGATCTGTTGTCGACCTCAGGGGAAATATAACCGCAAATCAAATGATCCATCAATCTCTACTTTGATTCGATGATTCACAGTATGGTCTAAAGACCCTCACTTGATTATATTAAAGGTAGTCAGAATCGATTTTCAAACCATTGAAAATCACCGATCAAGAAGGAAGCCCCCTGGGCAGACCCTCGAGCTTAGTCAGCCAGAAAAAGACACCCTCCGTTTGCCATCGTGTCCCTTCATCTTCATCTGTGGATATTAGAATTTTGAAATTCTCTGGAGTGAATCAATTTGAATTGTCTGTCATATCATATTATCTATCCCGAGCCCTTGAGTGGGTTCCGGCGCTGTTCAACCGTGTTGTCTTGCATGACAGGGTTTATTTTGGGCACGGATTCAATTACAATGGAGAGATACGATGCCTTGAGTCTTGTACAGGCCATCCGTGAGAAATATATCGGATTAAACTGGTCAACAGTTTTTGCTGTCGTGGTGTTCGTATGCATCACCACCCGGATTATTTCGGGACTTCAAAGTTGTGAGCGAGACGTTTCACAATCACAGACGGTGCGACAAGCACCTTATTGGTTTCCCTGGATTGGTCATGGCCCTGCCTTTTTATGGGATCACGTCGCCTTCTTTACGAGAATTCGGTTGGTCTTGTACTATACTGCCATTCTACGCACCTGCTGATAAGAGTATAGAAAATCTATGAAGGAGCCTGTCTTTGGCATTTACATTCGCGGTGTGAAGTACAATGCTGTGGTTTCTCCATCTATGATGAAGACTATTTTATCTGTCAAATCTGCCGCACCACACAATCAGGTTCTCGATCAGGCTCTGCAAAACGTCTTTGGCGACCGCGGCCTCATCCGCAATCTGGATTTGGATCGTTACCAAGGAGTTAGCGACAAGGCTTCTACCATTCTCAACGAAGAGGCTTTTGTCACTGAGGCTTCTTCTGCTATTACCCGTTTGGTTCAGCGCGATATGCCGAACCTGGTGAGCTTTTGCCGGAGCATTGTTGACCAATACCCCTGGGAGCGTGGCATCAGTGGAGTCGAAGTTCCCGATGAAGGGGACCAGAAAGTATGCGAGGCCAATCTGTTTGCACTTGTAAGCAATTTCATTGGTCACGTGAGTTCTGCTTTCCTGATGGGCGAGGCGTTCGTGGAGAATTTCCCTAATCTCTCAGAAGACCTTGGAAGACTCGACGATTGCTTTGCGACACTTTTCGTGGGCACTCCCCGTTGGGCCCCGCATCCAGCGGCTTCAGCAGGGCATGCGGCTAGTGATCGGCTTCGCCATATCTTTTCAATCTTTCATCGAGCTTTTACTGCCTGGGACGATGGGATTGACCCCGGCATTGAATTGCGTGATCTTGAAGATGTTTCTGAGCTATTCAAAGATCGGATGCGGACTTTTCGCAAATTGGAACTATCTCCAGGTGCCAGTGCTGCAGGGCACTTGTCTCTGTATTATGATCTGATTGAACACACAACCAAGATCACCTTTTGGACAATTACTCATCTGTTTGCCGAACCTTCACTTCTCGATCAAGTCCGTAAAGAGATTGCTCCTTACATGGTGGCTTCCAGACCAACTCGCGAGGAAACGGGGTTCCCCTTCGATGAACCTCCTCGTCTCTCTCTAAACATTGAAAAAGCACTCACATCTTGCCCACTGTTTAAAGCGTGTTACTGTGAGACTGTGCGCCTTCATTCAGCGGGAATCTCTTTCAAGAAGTTAGGGTCCGACGTGATACTTTCCGAGTCGGCAGAAGAAGCCGCCCATGGTCTGACGGAGCCCCGTACATACAAGATTGCAAAGGGCGAGTATATCCTTGTACCCCACGGCGCCTACTACCATGATGCTCGATACTTCTCAAATCCGGAACAGTATGATCCCCTTCGATTTCTCGTGACTGATCCCGCAACGGGAAAACAACGGGCTGATCTAAGCATCCTTGCCCCCTTCGCGGATGGATTGTATGGATCTACGGACAATGGCTTCACCGAGCGGGCTATCTTGACTTTCACGGCTGGCATTGTGGTCTTGTGGGACATTGAGCCCACAATTGGTAAATTTCTCTCAGTTCCAGGGCACAAGACTAGCTGGGGGGCTTTCCGACCGACCAAGGAGCTGCGGGTAAAGATGAAGTTGAGGGTATAGCCTTGAAGCAACGCACAGCGTTTTATTATAGAGAGAGCTTAATACATTTCAATTTATGACCATAGACCGTATGGACCGTATAGACCATGTCCTCCATGTACTTACTCCACACACTCCCTCGGCTCGGATTAATGTCCGGATCGGCCTTGCACCGATGACACCATCCACTAAGAGAAGGAGAATATATAAGTCGCCTGATTAATGTGCGCCTAGTTCCTCCGTGGTTTGGGGGGAATTGCGTGATTCAACAAGGGAAACACAATCCAACATGGTCGAACAGAATCCCCACAAGGACTACGACCTCACAACCCCAATCACCTCCACATGTGGACTTCGTCAGGGCCTAACATCATACGGAGATGCCCATTTCTCCCTCTTTCTTCGCAAGGTGTTTATCAAGGCACTTGGATATTCAGAAGACGCGCTTTCACGTCCAATCGTAGGTATCATCAACACTTTCTCGGGGTTCAATCCCTGCCATGCCAATGTGCCCCAGCTTGTTGAGGCGGCCAAGCGCGGCGTGCAACTTAATGGAGGACTAGCGATAGAATTTCCGACCATCAGTGTTGCCGAGTCATTCTCGCATCCAACCAGCATGTTCCTGCGGAATCTGATGAGCATGGACACGGAGGAGATGATCCGGGCTCAGCCGTTGGATGCTTGTATAATGATCGGGGGTGAGTCCCACTCCATCTATCTAACGTTGAATTTCTGTGATGTGAGAAGAGCCACTGACAGGACCTAAGGTTGTGATAAAACCGTTCCTGCTCAGTTGATGGGTGGCATCTCTGCTAACAAGCCAATCCTCCCACTGATCACCGGTCCAATGATGCCAGGAAGCCACCGCGGTCAGCGCATTGGAGCCTGCACTGATTGCCGAAACAACTGGGCGGCTTTTCGAGCGGGCGAAATTGACATCGAGGAAATCTCGGCCATCAACGAAGAGCTTGCTCCAACGGTACGTGCAGATGCGCTCTCATCGGATAAGGGGCCATGTAGCTCGCTAACCACAATGACTACTCGTTCAGATAGGGACATGCGGTGTCATGGGCACCGCTAGTACAATGGCTTGTGTGACTGCTGCGTTAGGAATGATGCCGCTTCGGGGCGCAACTGCACCGGCGGTATCATCCGCAAGACTACGAATTGCTGAGGAGACTGGCGCAAATTCAGTTGCAATTGCAAAGTCTAAGAGAAAGCCACAAGAAGTGTTGACCAAGGAATCGTTCTGGAATGCCATCACAGTGCTTCAGGCTATCGGGGGTTCGACAAACGCCGTTGTTCACCTGCTCGCTATTGCAAACAGGCATCCAGAACTGCAGGGAGTCATCACTTTAGATACTATTGAGGAGATTGGCCGCAATACCCCACTGTTGATTGATCTCAAGCCGAGTGGAGATAACTATATGAATGATTTTCACAATGCAGGAGGCATGGTGGCGCTGTTGCAGGTGCTTCGCCCCTTGCTCCATCTATCTGCTGTGACAATTACTGGGCAAACTCTTGGCCAAGTCCTCGATGCGTCCCAGTCTAAGCAACTTTCCTTTGCGCAACAGATTATTCGGCCAATGTCGGATCCTTTGTTTCCCGCGTCATCCTTGGCTGTTCTGCGTGGCAATCTTGCCCCAGACGGAGCGGTTCTCAAAGCCTCAGCGTCAAAATATCGGCACTTACTCTCACACACCGGACCGGCTGTAGTATTTGAGAATTCGGCCGACCTTGCTCAGCGAATCGATGATCCAATCCTTGGTGTGACGAAGGATAGTGTGCTGGTCTTGAAAAACATTGGTCCGGTTGGCAATCCTGGTATGCCAGAGGCTGGTCTCATACCGATTCCAAAGAAGTTAGCAGAGGCAGGAGTTAAGGATATGCTACGGCTTTCCGATGGTCGAATGTCAGGGACCGCAGGCGGAACCATTATCCTGCATATCTCGCCTGAAGCTGCGCTGCCAGAGTCGCCATTTGGCGTGGTGGAGACCGGTGACTTGATTATCTGCGATATCGAGACTAGGAGATTGCATTTAGAAGTTTCCGAAGCAGTATTGCAGACTCGAATCAAACGTAGACAGAGTCTTATAGGAGAGTCACGGGCAAGAAAGCAGAGCAGAGGCTACCGCGGGTTGTATGAGCGATCGGTGAATCAGGCACAAGAGGGAGCAGACTTTGATTTTCTAACAGCACGAGGTGCCAGCATGTAGAGTAGAATTTACTTCGGATACAAATTCAATATTCAATGTGACCTTTGATCAGTTGAACCCTGGAATGTCTGGACAAAAGGGGCCCTTACCCTGAGCCCTGAGCCCTATCTTGTTGCCCAATCAGGTTAAATCAATCCAGGCGCGTAACGCGGACGCGTCTGACCTTGTAGATCCCTGGCCATTTGCGATCCAGCAGATTAAGATCGAACGATGCTCTAGAGTTTCTAGTTGCAACTTGATTTGATCATCTACGTCAGGTCTCATTTACAATGAGTTCCGACCCTCTTCGCCCCCGGGGGCGCCCAGCCCGTAAGTCATGCCGATGACCTGGGGAGACTCTAACATTTACTGACAATGCGGCTTTCTCATAGATACGCCTGGCACAACGATACTGGCCTACACACCTGATGGACGACGGATTGTTACTGGTGGGTCCAATTCAGCAATTCGTATCTACACGGTCGGTGAAGATGGAGAGCCCAAGACAATTGACGAAGGTGTTGACGCGCATTTCGGCATTGGTGCTACGGTATGTTGGAATTGAAGAATCAGGATCTGCCGGAGGAACTGATAGGATTGCTAGAATCGGTCTTTCATCATGGGTGCCGAGGATGGAACAGTCTGGAAGTACGACATTATGTCAGGCAAGATGCAAACCTTGCTCGTACGATGCGCTTTGCCAGTCCGGGACATTGCAGTGACGAGAGATGGAGAATGGGTCGCGGTAGCAAGCGAGTAAGTCTTGAAGGGATTTTGTCAGATACATGAATGGATGCTTACAATGATGGACTAGTGAGCTCACTGTCAAGATCGTGAAAGTCGACGACATGACGCAAGTCAAGTATCTTCGGGAACAGTCCAAGGGAACGAAGCATGTCACGTTTGATCCAAGTGGCCGATATGCGACAGTATCCGGAACAGATGGAATCCTCTATGTATACTCTATGCATGAAGAGGAGCCAGGGCTTGTCCGCAAACTCGACGGAGTGATTCGACGATTAGAGCCAGATGCCGAGGCGACATCGAGAGCAGTGTGGCATCCCGATGGTACTGCATTTGCTTCTGCGGAAGCGACCAGAGACATCTCTATTTACTCGACCTCGGAGTGGAAGAAAGAGAAAACGTTCGCTGGCGGTCATACCGGGGACATCACGTCCTTGAGCTGGGCCCCGAACGGATCTCTTCTGGTATCTGCTGCAGCAGATGGATATATCGTGCTATGGGAAACAAAGACGCAAAAAATCCTGCAGCGATACGACTTTGGAAATGTCATGAATTTATCCTGGCATCCGACCAAGAACTCACTTTCATTCACAACTTCGGACGGAGAACTTTTTATCTATGATAACTTTGTGCCGAAAGAACACGAATCGCTGCTGCAGAAACCGCTACAAGCTGCTCCTATCCTGCCCGGGCCTCTGGGCGAGATCTCCAACAATCTCGGGCGAACCACACTGGCAGAGCGGTCCAAGGAGGCCATCCAGCGAGCGGCGAGAAGAGGAACTCCCGACTCGCTGGATGATATCCTTGATGGAGATGACCATCTGATGGATTTTGTCGAGGATGATGATGGGGCTGGGTACGCCGATGAGGGACTAAATCTGTATGGTAAGCGGCCAAACGATCATCTTGACGAACTCAGTGGCACTAGCAACAAGCGCCTTTACTCTGGCTTTGAGAAGCCCAAAGCCCATCCGCCTCTTCAACCTGGTAGCACACCTTGGGCCGGGAGTAGAAGGTATCTCTGTATGTTCTGGTTCCACCTTCGTTAAAGTCGAATTTGCTAAGTTGACTAGGTCTGAACTTGACGGGATCTGTCTGGACGGTGGACCAGGAGACACATCACACTGTCACTGTGGAATTCTATGACCGAGAAGCTCACCGAGACTTCCACTTCACTGATCCATATATGTACGACAAGGCTTGCCTGAGTGAGTCGCTTATCTTGTCTTTATGTGTTGGAAACTTGGCTGATCAAGTATAGATGACAACGGAACACTGTTTGCCAACAGCCCTTCTGATGGTAGTCCAGCCACCATCTTTTACCGTCCACACGAGACGTGGACTGCACGAGCGGACTGGCGAACTGAATTGCCCGAAGGGGAACAAATTCAAGGTAAGACTTGAAATGACTATGCCTTATCTAACCGTCCTACTAATGCCCGTTAAAAGCTCTGGCACTCAGCGATTCATACGTTGTCGCTGTGACATCAAAGGGCTATGTTCGAGTGTACACTCTCTTTGGGACTCCTTTCAAGGTGTATCGACAGAAGAGCCAAGCTGTGACTTGCGCGGCATGGCGTGATTACATTTTGAGCATCGGAAACGGTCCTGTAGGGATTGATGGCCATGCAACCTTACGATATACGGTGGAGAATGTCAAGCGCGACGAGATTTGCCAAAACGAAGACACTGTCGCCCTTCCGGAAGGGGCCTCGCTACAGAGTGTTTTCTTCTCCGATAATGGGGTGAGCGCCTTCCAAATAGAAGAGTTGAAAATGAAATTAACCATCTTCTTAGGATCCTTGTATCTATGACTCGACTGGCGTCCTACTAGTTCTGCAACACTGGCGCACATCCGGCCAAGCCCGATGGGTACCACTCTTAGACACGAAGCAAATGGCACGTCTCGCGGGAGGGCGGAAAGAAGAGACATACTGGCCAGTGGCTGTCGCACAAGACAAATTCCACTGCATCATTCTCAAGGGTGGCGACAAGAACCCTTACTTCCCACGGCCGTTGCTCAGTGAATTCGATTTCCAGATCCCAGTTGCCAGTGCTTCTCCAAAGGATTCTAGCGAGTCTGAAGATACGACAACCGAGGGCGCCCGCTTTGAGGAATCATTCGTACGTGGAAACGTACTTCTGTCGCTCTTCCGCGACCTTCTCTCATCGACCAATGCGACGGCACGCCAGCGTTCTGACTTGGCGCGAAGGGAGCTCGACTTGGACAAGAACTTACTGCAGATGCTGGCCATTGAATGCAGAGAGGGCGAGGAGCGTGGTATGAAGGCGCTAGAACTGGTAGCCTTGATGACGGACCGCTCTGGTAAGATGCTTGAGGCAGCCGCTAAGGTTGCACAGCGTTATGGACGTGGTGTTCTAGAGGACAAGATCCGTGATCTGGCTGAACGGCGGGTTATGGGAATGGGAGACGATGATGAACTGGCTTGAGGATGGAATTCTTACTAGCATCTTGAATGACTTCCCAAATCAGACCCGTAGACCCTTAGACCTATCAAACTAGCATAGATTGTACTATTCAGTGAAGATGTAAGTTGTATAAAAATGTATTTTAGAGCATCGTGATTGGTTACCGCAACGTCATTTTCCCCGACTCCGCGACTCCGAGCAACTTCAACCTGTCTACATGGCTGGATAACATACCAAAAGCAGGCTGCTTCTGAAATGCAGAATGCCGAAGCTGCTCTCTCTGCGCACGTCTCTTCCCAATCAGCCGAAGAGCCCTGTCTCTGGCAGGCTGTTTGCTTCGGTTTCGCGACAGCGACTTGCGCAACTTCGTCATGGCCTTCTCAATGAGCCCTGGCTACCTCCAACTCCAGCTGGACCTCTATCAACTACATACTTCTCCCCGGCTTGGGTGCGGAAAGAGCAATGGGAAGGCCCTCAGAAAACCGATCACAAAGCACCAGATGAAAGAACCTTGAAACTTGGAAAAAGTGTGTACTCACCATCTCCTCGCTCAAATTTTTTTTTTAAGAAAAATCTTTCAAACTAACTATCAAAGCTTTACGAACTCTCTCACCACTCTTACCGACTATCTTGTACAATACCTTACCCACTGAAATCCTGGCCCCGAGTGTCAACCTTCACCTGTTCCCATCCACACATCCACACCTCCCCAATGTCAAAGGACGTACACTCTATCGTGCAGCCATATGGACTGTCCCGGTAGCATGGAGTAGTGTACCCCTAGTCGGCAACGTGAAATTGCAAATTCTCAGCGAAAGGATTGTACGCGCTGGGACGCTGCTTGACCCTACGCATCATGGCTCCCATCACGACTGCGGCGATGAGCGCCTACTAGTACGATGGAAAACCGAGCCACGAACAGACAGTCGCCCTTTTCATGGCCCAGACTCTTCGAATACTAACTCCACAACCTCGAAAACTGCCCCATCCTCACAAAATAGCCACCTCTCGGCTTCCACAAATAGCACCAACAAAGGCTTGAGTGTCCTTCTCGGTGGTGAAGAGCCTATCTTCAAGCTATCAAAGGAAGAGCAATTCACCGGTATCTTTATCTTCTCTTTCGATGAGGAGGGTCGCATCCTGACTCATACTATCGAGCATGCCAATGAAGCGGACGGCTGGGACCGGACTGCTAAATTCGTGACTCTCACTGATTGGCTTATTGGCAAAGCCCGTGGCTCGTTAGACCCTGCTGCCAATGCTGGACTTGCCATGGCAACTGGTCAAAATCATGGATTTCTTTCTGGCAATGGCCAGAGATCGTGACTGCACCCTCAAACTCGATTATACCTCGAGTGAATCTTTCATCGGATGAACAATTTCCAAGGCAATTGAAAGAACGTACAACGACCGCTGTGTTCATGTATTCTTGCCTAGGTGTATCACGTTTTTTTTTCCCCGTTTACCATCTTTTTGTTTTTGATTCAAGGCGCAATGGCATCTGGTTATCAGTGTCGGGGGATTGGCTGTTTTGATATTGAACTCCTTTTTTCCCCTTGGCCTTGCCTGCTGGCACCCTTAAGACATACTTTCGCCACTCTTCTGTATTTTATACCCTGAATTAAACAAAAGCAGCAAGCTAATCAAACCACATAAATGGAAAGCTCAATCGGAAATGACGGAGATGGAGAGAACTTTTGACTCTGATATTGTTCTTTGATGAAAAAAATTGGAATAGTAGGACATTGGAGACCATCTTCACATGAAGCATGCTTCCCACCATGTTCCTACATGTACCCAGTTATGGAAATTACTTTATCTTTTTGTGAACAGCAGGCGACTTCAATAAGCCGAAAGCCGCAACTGTAACAAGACCCATAGCGAATCCGCCAGCGGAATAAGCAGCCTGACGGCCAGCCCACCAAAACAGAGAGCAGAATACAACAGGGCCAGTCGCCCTACCAGCCTGTCCCCACCCTCGCAAACGGCCCATAACCGCACCACGGTCCGCGTCCTGCGCCTCGAAGCTGCCCAGGCTGTTGAGTGACGTGACAACCGTAGCGGTCGTTACCGCAAGCAAAGCGCCGGCAGCATAGAGACCTGAGGGCGAAGAAACGCGAGCTAGACAGAAGAACGAGATGGTGCAGGCCACGACACCCGCACGGAGGGTGATCAGCGGCGGGAGACGGCGCACCAGCGTACCCTGAAGGAGTGAGGCAATCAATCCCATTAGGGACAAGAGACGTCCGTTCAATGCGGCAGGGCTGGCTGTCGTGGCAGATCCCGCGTAGAGCGTTGTAGTCAAGAAGGGGAGGGAGAACTCCAGACCGGAGAAGGGGAGTAGGAAGAGGAAGTGGAGGACATTAAGAAGGGCCGGGTTGTTTGTATGGGTGCGCTTAGCGAGAGAACTGCTCTTCTCTTTTGTCTTCTTATTCGACGCATCGTTCTTCTCAGCGGAGGAATTCTCGCCCTCCATCTGAAGCGTCGTCAGGCGGGGATGCGTCTCGGGCAAACAGATCCAAAGATACACAGTCTCAATAAAGATCAGGGCAAAAGACACAATTGCAGCGATAATGAACGGGTTCTCGGTGACCATATTGATACTGCTGAGCGCCGCACCTAGTACCGGCCCAAAAGTGAATGCGACGCTGAAACAGGCCCCGATTAGTGCCATGGAGGAGCCGCGGCGCTCCTCGTCTGTGATATCCACCACTATGGCATTGGCCATTTGCACATTTGCTTCGCTCAGGCCACCGATAATACGACTGGCGAGGAACATGCGGAAGTCCGTGGCTGACACCCACAGCGCGACGCTCAAGAGGTTCCCTAGCATGGAGGTGAGCAGGGCACGACGGCGGCCATGACGGTCAGATAGGCGGCCTATGATAGGTGCGGCAAAGGCTTGGAGAAGGGAGAACAAAGAGCCAAGGGCTCCTCCGAGGAGTACGATGTCATAGTGTGAGTCAATGGGGCGCGCGAATGAGTTTTTGTAGGCGTTTAGGTAGTGGAAGATGCGGTTAAGGAGGGAATCCGGAGACGGATCTTGTGCGCGATAAAACGATAGCAGCGAAGGGAAGAGTGGCAGAATGAATGTAAAGGAGATCTGGATGGATTTATCGTTTGAGTAAATGTAATTGTTGGCTTGGAGGGGTTGGCTTCCAAGGTTGATCTTACCAAATCTAACAACAGCGAGAGTATCAAGACCTTCAGCACCTCCTTACGCTGGGTGCCAGCGATAGCCATTATTGCTGGCGCCGTATATAGAATCGAAGATGTAAGGACAAGGTTGGATAGAAGCGAAAATGAGCAGAAATGACAAGAAAATCGAGAAGTTGACACTTGTACAAGAGTACAACGTTTTAATCAGATTGAACCGGGATCTCCACTGGGCGTCGGTATTCCCTTGCCTATCGTGGTTAGCGCCGTGCCCTGAAACCGAGTTTCATCCAAAATACGCTAGTAATAAAAAAGGAGTACGCGTATTTCAAGCGTCTTCCGTCAGGTCTTGCAAAAATTGATCCGCTCTGGATTCTCTTGTAATAGAATTACATTACTCTAATACAAGCTAGGCTAGGAGAGGTAACTCCGAGAACCCCCGGAGAGCCCATCACGTGCCACATTCACCTCGTGGTCTCTTACACAACTAGCTTACACAACTAGTTAATACGCTACCTCTATGCTACCTAGTATCATCTGCCCTTCATTAATGCCACCAATTTAAGTAGCAGGCCTTTTCGGTCAAATCAAAGCGGTCTACACTGAAAGACGATTTTTATCTACGGGAAATCCTGTAAAGTAATGGTGCACTCATTATGATCAATTTCGATCTATGCCCGACCTGAAGCCTATCCACTGGTCCGTTCATAAGCGCCGATAAAACATAGCCATAGAATACATATGCATGTTGTGGGAGAAGCTCCCTGAGGGTCGGGGATATGCGCGCTGGAAAAAAAAATTGCAGTACATGGCCAAGCAGACTTTGGCAAAACCAGACGAAGAGATCAAAGTGACTCTCCGTGAAGGAAATTCGTTGCGTTCGTGAGCCATCACATCGGACCAGAAACTGCTGAGGCCAGTCCCGAGAAAAAAAGACCCAGAAATCCCTCTTTGGAACAACAATTTCGAAACAAAATCTCAAAATCAGCGGGTTCCAACTGACATCCTAGGATTGCCACTCCTACTCGCTGGAAGCAGGAACTTCTGCCGAGCCAGAGGCAAAGCCGCTTGCACCACCTCGACCACGTCCACCTCGACCGCCTCGTCGTCCACCCCGGCCGCGGCTCTCACCAGTACGGCTCTCACCAGTACGACCTTCATCAGTACGACCTTCACCAGCACGCTTAGCGCCATTCCGGCCTCGGCCACCACGCTGTCCGTGACGGCGGCGTCCACCGGCCTTGGCACCATTCTCATCCTGAGTCACAATATCAGCGCTAGCCGGAGTAGCCTGTAGGCCAGTGTCAGTCTCATCAGGGTTGCGAGGAAGCTTGACCCATTCGCTGCTATCATCGGAAGTAGGAGCCCAAGTTTGCTCCGCACTAGGGTTTCCAGCATCAGAAACCAAAGTCTGCGCAGGAGGGGCCAGCTGATCAGCTTGGGCAGCCACGGGCTCGGCCTGGGCGCTGAAAGAGGTATCTTGGAGCTCGGTCAGTCCAGCGTTGGCTACGGTAGGGTCGGTCGTAGGGTCGGTGGTGGGGGTTGCCTCTGAGGCAGCCTCAGTAGTCTCCTCAGGAGGAGCGAACTTGTCAGATGCTTGCTTCACATCGCCATCTAAAAAGATCTAATGTTAGCAAACACGTTCAAAGATCTTTGGCGGGGTAAGCGTGGGGGGTGGGGGGATTCATTACTGACAGGTAAAATCAAGAGTGGTCCCCTCAACGGCATTGACTTTTTCATCGGCACCCTCAGCAATCTTCAATAGCGAATTGACTGCAGACTGGTTGCCAGCGTACACCTCGAACAGAACACCCTCGAAAGCACGGCTCTCGGTGGTGACGGCATCACCGTCGCGTCGAAGGATGGCCGCGGCGCACAAGAATTTAGTCACGGTATAGAACTGCTGGCGCAGTGCTTTCTTGGAGGCCTCAGTCGCATCGGCAATCGCATTATTACGGACAGCTTCGAGCTCCGCCTCGTGCGCCTTGACAAGCGCGGCCTTCTGAGCAACCAAACGGTCCTCGTGTTGGGCAGCGAATTGCTTGTAGTGACCAATCTGCTCCTCGGCCTGGGCAATGGTGGCCTGGATGGTAGGTTTCTTCAGGGCCTGGGCCTTCTGGTCGTTGTTGATTTTCTTCTCCTCAATCAGTTCATCAAGCGACTTGTCGGGGTTTTCAGCGATGATGGCGTCGACTTTGGCGAGGGAGTTCTAGTCAAAAAAACCCCAGCAAAGTTAGAGATATTTGAAAAGAAACAATTGAAAGCAAAGAACATTCGGTAACAACTTACCAATTTCTTCATGGCATTGCGAAGTGTCCTAGACAGACCATACAATTAGCTCACTGTCACTTGCGCGTAGGCAATAGCCATGCAATCAGGTATCAAATTTCGAACATACTTCTGCAGCTCCTTCAAGTAGCTACTCTCTTGGCCATCAGAGCTAGGACTCTCGGGGTCCTTGGAGACGCTTGAAGCTCGGGAGCCCTTCTCCTCGTCCTTGAGCTTCTGGGTGGCGGAAGCGGGAGGCATGATGGGAAAGTGGGTAACACAGATATTAAAGTATTTCCGAAAAGCTTGTACAAGACTTAAAAGAAGAATTAAACGTGATAACGTTGAAGCAAAGATGGGTGTTGTGAAGAAAGAATCAACACGCGGGTCGGGAGCCCATTCTTGGTCGGTGTGGCCCACTGGCTTTGGGCAGACTCTCTACGCGATGTTAGCACGCGAGTTGAGCAATTAAGCAAACACAGCACTGGCCTATATCTAAGTATCTAAAAATGTGCAATTTACCAGGTAATCGAATTGTTGTTTGGTCATTTCTTCCATTCTATTGCCCTAGGGTATCTTGTTCACACTCGCGCACAACGCCATAATATCTCAAAATGCAAGCCAATTCCAGTACAGTGTTCCCCAAGCCTTTCATATCCATGCTAGGCAGGTATTCACCTCAATTACAGACCGATGTTATATCCTAGACTCTTCTAGCCCTGGAACTTGCGCAGTGTTTTCTAAAGGAGCCCACACTTGTCAGCTGTGTGTTCTCACAAGTCTTCGGGGGAAGCTCTTAGATCGACTTCAAACGCACCTCAGTAACTTTGCGCACGGTATTTGCTGAGATGTTTTTCTCTCCAGACTTATGCGACCGAATCGATGCCTCGCGCATTAATCTACAATGGGTTAGCCCATCGCCAGTTCAACCATGTCGGCGGCGAGAGCGCGAATCCGAGGGTTGCGATCCGTGGACAACGCCACAAGAATAGATGGAGACGCACTCTTGCATGAATAGAATGTAGTCTAAAAAGATCTACAAAGCTAGTATTAGCAACTGGATAAAGAAAGGTTTCACATCGGGACCGCGTACCAGTATGTCGGCATTCTTGCTCACGCTCCGATTGGAGTGGGCTTTGACAATACGCTTGACTGTTCCTCGCGGGTAAAGTTTCTGAGCTACCGCCATGACAATTCAAATATAGGAGATGGTGAAGCGGAAGATGGCCGTGTGCAATGTTGAATGTTTACCCCCAAAAAGGACGTGGGGAGCTCTTTGATCTGACTGAATACCGAATACCGTAATCATCCGTTTCTTGTGTAATTTGGTATTTGTATTTTCGGCATCGTGAAGCATATGACTTAATGTCATACGATGTACTCCGTAAGTAAATCTTCAACATGATCAGCATCTTTATTGCTGTATATTGCTAATGTACACCTCAACGCAGTCGTCGAAGAATTCGCCAGGCTGAGACACCAGCAATTGAACCAATGGCTACACGCCAGGCCAGGAAAACCCAGATTGCCATGCGCATGCGGTCATAATACCCACGCAACATGATCCCAACGGCATAAGAAGTCCCGTCTATTGCTTGGTCTGCCGGACCATAATATCTTCCCACTCCGAGACCACCGATACCTACTTCATTGTTATCATGTTCAACGTTCGTCCCCTGTGCGCTTGAAGGGTGGCCATTTCGCTATCAGCGGCCGTGTTACTAGGACGAGCACCCGATCTCACATTGAGTGCATTACGCTTCCGCAAATTATAAGTCACAATGCTTACAATCAGCCGCAGGTCGGGCACGGTAAATGTTGGATATTTCCACAACTGCACAGCCTGGTGGGGAGGGAGCATATCCAAGAAGTCAGCCAAGATACCGAGGGTAAGACCCCAGAGGAGCAGCGGACGGGCAGTATCACTCGAATCCGCTTGCCCGCTCAGACACCATTTCTTGAAACGCTGGACCAGGGAAGGTTTGGGCGTGTTCTCTTCAGGAACAAATCCAGGAGTTGTAGTGCATTGATTGGTTTCCGATGGGAGGAGCCTCACGGCCGAGAACTGCATCCAACCCATCAGAGACCGAACTACAAGACGGGTCAGAACTCCGCCTTGTCGAGCGAAGCGCTGTGACATATCCACATATTCCACGGTCCGCAGCAATGGTGATAGGAGGGCGCGCAGGGGAATCCAATGTGTCGACGCTACTTCCGTGGGCTGCAATCTAAGGGTCGGGGAGTCGCTGCGAGTTATGAGGAAGACGAAGGGACAAAGAACCATCAACCTGCCATTCAAGTCAGTCATCCAGTTCTCAGCGGCGAGAGAGTGAAGGGGATGTTCTTACGGTTCGGACCCCCAGCTGGTAGTGACCACCCGCTCAGGGAGATTGCCCACACTAATGGTATCATCCGTTGTCAAATCTAATCCAATTTCCTCTGAAGCTTCTCTAATAGCTGTAGCTTTATCATCTGCATCTTCCGGGTCACGCTTTCCACCCGGTAGGGCAACATGGCCAGTCCATCGGTCCCCAACGCGCGAAGCACGCTTGATGAACAGAACCTCCGGTTCACCATGCTGGACCCATGGCTGTGAAAAGAACACATTTAAACGTGGTTGGACTGGCTGATAGGCATCTTTTGTGGGGTTTGAGCTAGGCCAATAATCATAGGTTGGTCGAACCCGAATAATCAAGGCAACCGAGGCGCGTTTCTTGCAGTTTGGGGGGTTTGGGACGTAAGGATAAGGTTGACGATGTAGCTCGGCTAATACACCATGCAGATGATGGGACAGGCCCGGAGTTTGTGCAGACTTGGCCTCCATCAAGTTGTATATCTAATTTTAAGATGTCAAAAGGATTCTTTGGATTGTGGAGGATATCGATATCAGTCCCTGTGCACGTACCTCTATCTGGTCCCGACGGGGCGAAATCGGTCTAGCCCCGTAATCCCGTTCTGTTGTATTGTAAATTAACATACAATACCACCGGAACAAGTATAATCCGAAAGACTTGTACGGGCTAGTCGCCCACTCGTCCATTACTGGATTCTGATTGGACTGATCCAAAGAGCACGTGCGTCTATCGCTGGCTATCGAACACTTTCAGTCTGGAAGCTGCGACCTGTCCATCGCGTGGTTTTAAAGCTAATGGGCTGTTTTTTTGGGAGTGTCTGTGCATCTTTTTCGATCTGCAATTAAATCTTAGCTCTTGCTTTATTTTTTCTTATCATCAATCTGTCTCAATCCTCTCATTCTTACCTCTTCCTCCCTTCCGAATACCCCCCCCCCCCCAATCAGAGGTGCACATCACCCGGCCGTCTCTGAGTAACAACTGCACAACGCCATTTACATCCGGACTGGCTCAAAATGCGGTTTGGGAAAACCCTCCGTGCTGCGGTGTACCCACCCTGGAAAGGGAAGTACATTGACTACACCAAGCTTAAGACCTTGCTGAGAGAGAATGATGTCACAAGAGACGGAGAAGACGCCAGTGACTCTGATGATGACCAGTGGACTGAGCAAGATGAGGAAGCCTTTGTGCAGGAACTGCTTAATGTAGAACTGGACAAGGTCAATTCTTTTCAAGCAGAGACATCGCAGCAACTCCGAGAACGGACAACAGCATGCGAAGTCAAACTACGACCCGTGGCATCTACTCCGGAGCAAGAAACACCCGTCCTCGATGAACAGAAGAAAAGGGCCATTGCCTCAGAAGTTCTCCAAGAACTAGATAACATCACCAAGGAAGTCAGTGCCTTGGAAAAATACAGCCGAATCAATTTCACTGGCTTCCTTAAGGCTGCAAAGAAGCATGATCGCAAACGAGGAGCCCGATATCGGGTGAAACCTCTGCTTCAAGTGCGACTGTCACAACTGCCATTCAACTCAGAAGACTATTCACCGTTGGTCCATCGGCTCTCGGTGATGTACTCCTTTGTTCGAGAGACTCTTAGCCATGACATCGTGCAACCAAGGGAGACCGAGCATGGATTTGGCCGTGAGACCTATTCATCTTACAAATTCTGGGTTCACTCAGACAATGTTTTGGAGGTCAAGACTCATATCCTTCGCCGATTGCCAGTTCTTATCTACAGGCCGGGAACTTCCAAGGACCTCGATACCATCACTGAAGACCCCACCATTACTTCTCTCTATTTTGATTCCCCTCAGTTTGATCTCTACAATCAAAAGGTCGCACGAGCACCCGAAGCCGGATCTTTGCGACTGCGCTGGACGGGATCACTCAAAGACAAACCTACCATCCAATTGGAAAAGAAGATTGTCACCGACGACGACGAAAGTCGACAAGTCAAGGTACAGCTCAAAGACAAGCACATTAAGGAATTTTTGGACGGCGAGTACCGCTTCGATAAAAAGCTCCATCGCATGGAGGATTCGAACAATGGCGAGTCGGCGGCCGCCGAAGCCTTGAAGAAGGATGTGGATGAGCTGCAGTCCTTCATCAAGGACAATGACCTACAACCCATGCTTCGGGCCAACTACACGCGCACCGCTTTCCAAATTCCTGGCAATGATCGAATTCGTATTTCACTCGATACCAACCTTGCCCTCATTCGGGAAGATATCCTCGACAGTGAACGTCCATGTCGCGATCCATCTGAGTGGCACCGTACCGACTTGGATGATGCCGACATGACGTACCCCTTCAATGCTGTCAGGACTGGAGAGATCACTCGCTTCCCTCACGCTTTGCTCGAGATCCAGCTTCGAGGTAAGGCTCATAACACCGAGTGGGTCAAGGATTTGATGGTCTCCCACCTGGTCAAGGATGCTCCCCGCTTCTCCAAATTCGTCCACGGCGTTGCCTCACTATTTGAAGACCATGTCAACAGCTTCCCCTTCTGGCTTGGTGAACTTGAAAATGATATTCGTCGTGATCCCGAAACTGCATTCCACGAGGAACAAGAGCGATTGGCTCGACGAGCGGAAGAGAACATAGCAGTGGGCAGCTTCATGGGAGACGCGCGCAGCCCAGGTGTTCGCCCACAGGTCGGGTCGCCTTACCACCAATACTCTAGTGCAGGCTCTCCCTCGGCCATGCGGAGATCCTCAGCAGTCACCGAACCTGCTGCGCGGTCCCCACGTCCCTCGATCCCAGAGCCCCAGCGCCGTGATACCGAACCCGCTCCCGAACCAGAGGAAGAACCCGGGCCGCCCACTCGTGTCGAGTCCATCTTTCAATTCTTGGGGCTATCTCCTCAGCGCTGGCTTGGGGAATCTGTCTCTCTGCCGCCTGGCGTTCGACACCCCGGCGTCTGGATCAAAGATGCCGGGCCCGTTCGTGTGGAAAGTAAGGTCTACCTTGCCAACCAGCGAACTTTTATCAAATGGCTTCACATCAGTATCCTCCTATCGAGTTTATCATTGGGTCTTTACAATGCTGCTGGCAAGCACAACCAGGTAGCCCAGGCACTGGCTGTCGTCTATACATTCTTTGCCATCTTCGCCGCAGTCTGGGGATGGTTCATGTACGAGAGACGGGCCCGCCTCATCCGCCAGCGGAGTGGAAAAGACTTAGACAACATGTTCGGTCCTATTGTAGTCTGCATCGGTTTGGCAGTTGCCTTGGTTCTGAACTTTGTTTTCAAGGTTAGATACCCTTGGTCATTTTTTTTTCAACCCGGTCTTCTCGCTAACTCGTCAATAGTATTCCTCGGCACTAAGTCAAGGCCGCAACCACCCGCTTCCTATGCCTGTTTACTCTAACTCATCGGCTATTTTCGACAGCAACTCGGGAGGTTCGTGGGGTAACTTGAACCAGGCCCAGCAGGTTTTGTGATGGTTTTTCTGGAGCCTTTTCTTCAAAGTGTGGCTTCATCGGCGGAGCTTTGGTGTGGTTGTTGGATAATGGCATGCACTTCAGAATAACATCCTTCGGGGACATTTGTGATTAATGTTGTGTGTTGTCGATATTGTTCCTCTTATTCAATGCGTATATTGTAATTACAGCAAATTCAGAGTAGTCCCATTTTTAAAGATGCGAAATCCCAAGACATGCGAAACCACCTGAAACCCGCGGAATGTCATTGAAACGCTTACAAATCGACTGTCAGCCCCCGACGCCCATAAGCAACGCTCAAAAGTACAAAGCAAAGATATCTCCCAACTTCCAATCCATCACCTCCCTCCTATTTTCTTGACACAATGACGAACTTCCAAATCCAGAT